GGGGAATAATTCAAGGCATAAAGTTCGGTAGCCGTTTTGGGTATGGAGATCCCTAGGTATTGAAGAGAAGTAGGTTGAATGTGTAACGGATAGCCAAGGTAAGTCTTTCTTGGGAGGGGTGCGAGATAAGAACAGAAGATCACTTTTGTCTACGTTAATTTTGAGACCAGAGAATGTACCGAACTGTTGTATGTGATCAAATACGATAGGGATTTGGGTGCTGGGGGTCTGAGAGAAAGAGGAGTATATCATCAGCGAAGAACAGAGATTGTATAGTGTGTTTGCCTATGTTAATGCCAGTAAAGAGGTCATTCTTGGATAGGGAGCGAGCTAGTGGTTCAATGGCCAGATTGAATAATAGAGGAGATAAAGGGCCATCCCTGGCGTGTACCTCTGTAAACGGTGAAGAGCGGAGAGAGGAAAGTGGAGGTGAATATCTGCGCATTGGGTGAGGTGTACATTGTGTTGATCTAGAACAGGGGCGCCCACAATTTTTCGTCTGGAGATCTACTTTTCAAATGACGAGCTCAATGAGATCTACCAACGAAAAACACCTGCGTTCAGGGGCGGGAGTGGGCGTGGCAGTGCATTGAAGTCGCCCGGCCCTCTCTTCTCTCTCTCCCGTGTTTCTATCTCCTGTCTCTTCTCTTTCTCTGCTGTCTCTTCTCTCTCTCTACTGTCTCTCTTTTCTTACCTCCACTGCAGCAGTTTCCCAAGTCTCCTCTCCTCTCTCCTTCCCATCTGCGGCGTCTGACACATTCAGCCGCACGAGCACCGCGGGAGGACAGGACACAGGTCAGTGAGCCGATCGGGATCTACCAATTTTCGCTTTGCGATCTACCTAATGGGCACCCCTGATCTAGAAACAAACCAGAGCAACCCATTTGTTTTAGTACCAGTTAAAGCCATGACCAATTGACACTGTCGAAGGCCTTCTCCCCGTCCAACGCCAGAAGGCCTTCTCCCCGTCCAACGCCAGCACGTTCAATGACTGCAATAGCGTTGCGAATATTAGTAACTGCAGATCTCCCAGAAACAAAGCCCGACTGAGCAGGAGAAAGAATTCTGGGTAAAACAATTGCTAATCTATCCGCCATTATTTTAGATAAATACTTAGCATCCTGATTTAACAGGGATATAGGGCGGTAGGATCCTGGCAACGGGGGACCTTTGTTTTTCTTGGGTAGCAATCCGATATAGGCATTGTTAAAAGTGGAAGGGTACGCCTTCTCCCGTAAACTATGGTTAAACAGGCGAAGTAGAGCAAGTGATATGTTATCTAATAATAACTTATAGAATTCCATGGATAGCCCATCAGGTCCAGGCGCCTTTGCTCGAGGTGAAGTCCTAATGACTTTTTCCAATTCTTGGGCTGTAATTTCTCCATTAAAGGAGAAATAGTTCATCTTCTGTCAGCGAAGGCAAATCGGTAGTCAAGGTAATGGGCCCCCACTGGTTAAGTCAGCCGTCTGAGGCCCATAAAGTTGTTTATAATATGGAGGAGAAAATTCTAGGAGATATTTTCCGAGTCGGTGTAAATCCGTCCCTCTGCCATCAGCCAATTTCGTAATGTGTGATGTCTTAGGTGGACCACGGGCAAGCGCGACCATCGGTTTTCCGGGCTTATTGCCAAATTTGAACAAATCTACTTCTTTGAATGACCTGATGTGGGATTCATATTGTTGAATCCAGTGGTCACATGTTTGTTTGGCCACTATCCACGATGATCTATGCTCAGGGGTGGGGTGCATTTTAAATGTGTTATAAGCCGGTCTTACTGCCTGGCATGCTGACCTGTAATGTTGCATGGTCACCTCATTACGCCAAGAAGAATATGCCAGGATCCTACCGCGCAACACAGCCTTCGCCGCCTCCGTCAATACAATGGCGGGTTATCCTCGTGAGAGGAGTTGCAGGATGCATATTCCAGCCACCAAAGTTGAAGTATGCTTGAAATGCGTCATCATGGAGTAAGTATGCCGGGAATCTCCAGGTAGGTGGTGTAGAGGGAATGTCCAAGCCTGAAAGGCCTAAAGATACCGGGGAATGATCGGAAATGACCATATCCTCTATCCGTACATGAGAGAGTTTCGTGAGAAGTCTTTGGGGCTAGAAGAAGAATGTCTATGCGGGACATGACCGCATGAGGGTGGGAAAAGCGAGAGTAGTCCCGTTCCGAGGGATGTGTGTGTCGCCAAGCATCTTCCAATCCACTGCTGTGAATAAAGTTTAGCAAAATGGTCATCTCTAGTCGTCGTGGCAGGGGATTTCCGGTGTAGAGTGCCCGGACGGTCATCTAATGTAGACGGGACTGCATTGAAGTGTCGTCCCCCCCCCCCACTATGGTATAGTGTGCAGTCGTTGGAGAAGAGCCAGTAATGATGAAAAAAAATTGATGATTGTCAGTGTTTGGGCCATAAATATTCCATATGTCCAGTATATTGGATCCCAGCTGAATTGTGGTACACGACCATCGGCCATCAGTTGGATCCGCTTTATGTTGGAGAACCGAACAGGGTAAGGATTTGTTAACCAACAAAAGAGTACCTGCTGATCGGCCTGCGGCGGATGCACCTAGGACTGTACCCACCCAGTGGCGCTGCATTCGATGGAAGCCCGTAGATGAGAGGCGAGTCTCCTGCAGTAGAGCTATCATAAGGTAGTTTTTGTGAAGAAGTTTGAGGTGAAGAAGAGGCGTATGTCGGTGTCCCTGAGCTATGACAATGCCTATAGCACACAGTCTCGTCCCAAGTGAGGAGGTGGAGAAGAGCAAGGATAGGTTCGGTCCGTGTTAGACAGGTCGAGAGTGCCCCGTGAACAAACTCCCTGTGAGATGATTACATGAAGGGAGAAGAGAACAAAAAAAAAAAGTGGGAGCAAAAATAAAAACAATAAGCAGATGAACGCTCGAACTAGAACTCGGTAAAGGCCAATAACGCCAAAAGCCATGCAGGAACGGGACTTGCTTTTTTCTCTATAGAGGGCATGGTGGGCAAGTCCAGCGAGCAACCCACAAGCGGTCAGAGCAAGTTTCCAATGTGGGGAAGGATTGCTTATCCATAGTGCTTCAAAGCAGTGGTTCTCAAACTTGTCCTTGGTCAGCCTGGGGTCCAGTGTGGGCTGCTGTGCTGTGACGGAGCTCCATCCATATGTGCATTGCTTGTACAGCTCCCTTGCACACCCTGTAGAGGTGCCGGGAACCAGAATGTGATGTCACTCCGGGTCCATGCACCTCTTCAGAACATGCGAGAAAGCTGTAAGCAATGCACCTATGGATGGAGCTCTCTCACGGCCATACCACCTGCCGACCGCACCTCAAGCTGACACTCACCCACCTTTAGGTCATGACCCACCAGTTGAGAACCAAGGCTATAAAGGAAGGGTTCCAACAGGGATAACTTGTCAAGAAAACGTTTGTGGAACACGGGACGCATCATACGAAGCAACTTGAGGATTATCCCGCCATAGTGAACGGTGAGACATGCGATAGAGCACCACCCGGAGCATACTATTAATACTACCCTAGCTAGTACGCTAGGAAATTGATCAGGCCTTTTTCTTTCTGGGTGTGGACTTAGTAGGGGACAAATCGGCACGATTGGGGGGTTCGTGCAATGCTCCGGCATATCTGAACGCCTCCTCTGCAGAAAGCCTCCCAGCAGGGAGCGTAATGCGCAGCGTCGCTGGATATGGCGGGGTGAACTTAATGTGCCTGTCGAAGCAGAATACGGCCGGTGTCTACGAATGCCTTTCTTTGTTTGGACGCCTGTGCTGAATAATCCGCGAATAGTAGGAGTTTGAATCCAGCTGCCATCAGAGCTTTTTGAGACCTGTAGTTATGTAGAAGGGTATTTCTGTCTGCAAAATCCAAGTAACAGATTATCACCTTGGCGATTTTGTTCTGGGTGGGCCAATCCTGTGGGCCCTCTCCACTTTACAAGGGAGGCAAGGCCTAGAGCAGTGGTGGCGAACCTTGGCGCTCCAGCTGTGCCAAAACTACAAATCCCAACATGCACCTGCCTCTGGGAGTTATGTCTGTGGCTGTCAGAGCCTTGCAATGCCTCATGGGACTTGTAGTTCCAAAACAGCTGGAGTGCCAAGGTTCGCCACCACTGGCCTAGAGCCTTCCGGACGACATGAGAGCAGAAGTGAGTCAGCTCCGCCGGTGGTACAGATTCGGGTAGGCCGATGAGGCGGAGATTGTTTCTGCGGAATGCGATTTTCTAAATCGTCCACGTTGTCCAGCACATAATGAATCTGTTTGGCTGATTCCCCCCTGGGTGGCGGTGTAGGCGGTGTTTTGGTCTTCTAGTGTCTCAGCGGTCAGTAAAGGAGTCTCATGAGTTTCCAGAGTGAGTGTCACTTGGCTCATATGCTGCTGCAGTGACTCTGCTATAATGGCAGCTAAATCGTTTTTTAAGTGTGACGCCGCCGCCGGGCGTTGATAGTCGATGGCCACGTCTGAGGCGACAGTTGGCGACTCACCCATAGGCTCTGCAGGGACTGGCTGTTCGCGCGCTTCCCGATCCGCCATCTTGGATTTTTCGCGTGGTTGTGAGGGGTCCGGTAATAGTGATCGTCTTATTGTTTGCGAGCGGGAGAGGAACTTGTCCATTACCCGCAGCAGGTCTCCGTGATCCGGTAGTGCCGTATGAGGTCAAATATAATCTTTTCGTCCTGTTTTATCCTGTGTTCCCTGATGTGTTGTGTCGGAGCCGAGACGCACACAGCTATTCCATAGGGCGCCGGAACCGGAAGTCCTCTGGTCCGGTGTTTCAGCCGGCGAAAGTACTCTGATGTCTCATTAGTTGTCCTTTCTTACCAAAACTTTTCCCGCACTTTTAACTTGAATAAGGTTGTTGACCTGTGTGGATTCTCTGGTGTTTGGGAAGGGTTCCTTTGTCCGTAAAACTTTGCCCACACTCTGAACAAAAAGGCGCTCACCAATGTGAATTCTCTTGTATAAAAGAAGGTTTGCTTTTCACTAGAAAACCTTTCCCACACTTTCAACAGGAGAAAGGACGCTCACCCATGTGAATTCTCATGTGTTTAAGAAGGTTTTCTTTCTTAGTAAAACTTTTCCCACATTCTGAACATGAATAAGGATGTGCACCCGTGTGAGTTCTCTGGTGTTTAGCAAGGGATCCTTTTTGAGCAAAACTTTTCCCACACTCCAAGCATGAATACGGACGCTCACCTGTGTGAATTCTCATGTGCCTAAGAAGATCTGCTTTCCTAGTAAAACTTTTCCCACATTCTGAACATGAATAAGGATGTACACCCGTGTGAATTATCTGGTGTTTAACAAGTGATCCTTTTTGAGCATAACTTTTCCCACACTCCAAGCATGAATACGGACGCTCACCTGTGTGAATTCTCTGGTGTCCTAGAAGTTCTGCTTTCCTTATAAAACCTTTTCCACATTCTGAACATGAATACGGACGCTCACCTGTGTGAATTCTCTGATGTCTAAGAAGGTCTCCATTGCTCGCAAACGTTTTTCCACATTCTGGACATGAATACGGACGCTCACCTGTGTGAATTCTCTGATGTCTAAGAAGATCTCCCTTGCTACCAAAACTTTTTCCACACTCTGAACATGGATAAGGACGTTCAACCTTGTGAATTATCTGGTGCGTAAAAAGTGCTTGTTTTTTAGCAAAACTTTTCCCACACTCTATGCATGAATACGGACGCTCACCTGTGTGAATTTTCTGGTGTCTAAGAAGTTTTTTTGGGTTAAAAAAACGTTTCCTGCACACTGGGCATGAAAAGGTCACATGGTTGTGGGTTTTGATGTGTAGAAGAAGTTCAGAGTGATAAATGGTTCTATATTTAGGATGTATCCGGTCTATAAATGGCGGCTCTGGATGGACAGTTGGATAAATGGTTCTATATTTAGGATGTATCCGGTCTATATACTATAACAAATATCACAGAGACTATGGAGGACGGACATGACGGGGGGGGTTACAGGGTGTAAATATAAAATATCTTATTACCTCCTCTGCTGCCAGTTCCAGCAATGTCTCCTCTCTATTTAGTCCCACCTCACCTCTCACCCAGAACTTCCTGTCTGTATGTGACATCACTTCCTGGTTGTACTCTACACTGATAACTGATGTCGCCACCTTGCTGTGTGTATGAGAACTGCGGATGATCCTCCGAGCGCTTAGTTGTGTCTCGTGCCTCCGTTACGTCGTTAGACTTTGTCTGACGTCATCTTCATTATTCGGTAAAATACAAAATCTCCGCGCTTGCAGAAATCAAACCCCATTCCTGATAACTCCGAAGACGTGGACGCCGGCGTGTGGGCCGGAACGATACTCAGGATTATATTGTGTTATAGATACACTTTTATTTCATCTTTTCCATTCTTTTATTTCACGCACAATATCACATTATTATTCTTTTTCCATTGTGTGTCCTCACCTCAGGTGGAAACAGGAACCAAACCGCACTCCTTACCGGGATTCCCACTTCGGTGTGACGTGTATGTCTTGCGGCTGAGTCGGGCCCCTAGATGGCGCTGATGAGTGAAGGGAAATTCCTATAATCAGCAGCGCCACCTAGGGGCGGTAGTACCCTTCCAACAGAATCCACGGGGAAGTTTTTATACAGGAAGTCCCTATAGTGTATACACAGCCACATTTCTATATATAGAGTTGGATGGAGTGAAGAATGGTTAGAACTAGAGATGTCCCAATACTGATACTAGTGCCGATACACGGCATTATCACTAGTACTTGTGAAAATGCCCGGAAACTAAAGGCCAATACCTGCCCTTTAAATTTTTACACCGATCAGCTGCCTGAGGTCCCGCGCTTGTGGCATCAGCTTGTGGATCAGCGCTTGTGGATCAGCTGCCTTTGACAATGCCTGTTCGGCCCCCAATCTCCTCCTCGTTCCCGGCATAGCTCAGGACAGCCCCACGCCAAAAGTACAGACCCAGAGCCGACCCAAGCCCAGCACCTGCCCGTATACCTTCTATATTTCATGAAAGGTCCTCTTGAAATCAAGGCAACGGTAGAATATGCCGGTGAAACCCGAACCCCCTTTGATGAACCATCATCTTGGAGGAAGAAAATGTGGTTGGAATAAAGTCACAAAACAAAAATGGCAGCTTGTTATTCCGGACAGTTCTCCTTCCACTGAGACGCACGCGAAGGCTCTGCTCGGCCCGGCTGCATGAATCAGAACCTGTGCTACAACCCACCATGTATGGTCCTCCAAGTTACGAGTCCGTCCCACCCAGAGCTCCATCAGACTCCTAGTAAAACCGGCCCCTGAATGGGCTTTACCAACGCAGGGTAAAGATCTCTCTTTCCTTACCTCCAGGTCTCTCCTGGCATTATCTGAGACCATATCGAGGAATCCGTGGAGGGACATATCGTCCATCAACCAACCCGGTCGGTGTTACAGCCACCCCCGCTCCACACCGCACTGTGCCCCAATTATCACCCAATTTCTCTGATCAATACAAGTTTCCCGCCTTATTCACCCAGAATGGGCTGGTTTCATCCGGTTCTAACATAGTATTTGAGGTTGAATAAAGACACAGGACCATCAAGTCCAACCTATTGCGTGTATACATAATACAATCCATTCCCTTTCCTTTATAGCATCTGCCATTGGAATTGGGCCCTCTCCTGTCCAGCACAAAAAGGAGGCCGCCTCAAAAAACAGGGCGAACGCAGGGTTACCTATAATCGGAGTCATGGGACCAATGGAGGAGGAGATGTGGGATTTCCTAAGCAGCGAGTCTTAAGTATGAGGAGACACAACAGTGAGGATGAAGAGGGACGGTCACGAAGGGGCTCCCAGGGTAGCTTGAGAAGAAGGATCGGCGATTGGGAAACCTCCAACCAAACCCATCGCTTGGGATCATGAGACGTCATTGTCACACATGTATTGGCCACCACGGAGTCCAGACCTTAACCCCATTGAGAGTCTATGGGATGTGCTGGATAAGACTTTACGCAGAGGTCCGACTCTCCCATCATCACTAGAAGATCTTGGTGAGAACTTAACGCAACTCTGGATGGAAATAAATGTCGTGACATTGTATAAGGCAAAAACAAAAATGAGAGAGACACGAGAAGAGGGATCGGTGATTGGGAGTCCTCCGACCCAACCCATCGCTTATCCTTGTGATGAAACATTCAGTCAGAAAGGTGGGTCAGTAATGAGTCCTTATGATAGAGCTCTAGATGGGGTAGACCAAGCCCCCCAGATTGTTCCCGATATACCAATATATCGTATCGGAGGCGAGGGATGGAGACCATAGATGGGGGAGGAAAGCAGATAAAAAAATTTATAGGTAGTGTGGAAAATGTTTTAAAAAATGAAACCCCCGTGCGGTCATTCACCCCCTGGCTTTCCTCCTCTCCCTCCGGCTCTTTTCCCTCTCGCTCCTTCATTCTCCTCTGTGTCTCTGATCCTCTCCCTTCCCTCTGGATGAGTGGGCCTGCTGGGCTCGGAGTCTCGTGGACGATAGAAGCTGCAGGTGGATCTGGGACCTATGACGTGTAGAATCCTTCTGTAACACGGCTTGGACCTGACTTATTTTTGTATTTAATTTTCTTTTTCGCTCTGACTGATACGAGAGAGAAACTCTGTGCCGACGTCCCTCCTCTATTCTCACCCACTCTGTGCCGACGCCCCTCCTCTATTCTCACCCACTCCGTGCCGAAGCCCCGCCTCTATTCTCACCCACTCCGTGCTGCCGCCCCGCCTCTATTCTCACCCACTCCGTGCCGCCGCCCCGCCTCTAGTCTCACCCACTCTGTGCCACCGCTCCACTGCTATTCTCAACCACTCCGTTCCCCCGCCGCTATTCTCACCCCTGATTTGCTGGTTTTGCTCTCTTAGAAGTGAAACCCAATAAACTTTTATACATTTTATTGCACAATTTGCACTAAAAAATAAAAAATTCACAAACAAAATTAATGAACAAGGACGTTCACACGTGTGAATCCTCCGGTGTCCAAAAAAAAGAAGAAAAAAAAAGTGTTCTTTTACAGCAAAACTTTTTCTGCACTTTAAACATGACTGGGGTCTAAGAAGGGCTCCTTCCTTAGTGACATGTTTCCCGCACTCTGAAAATGTTGGTACATTGTGCTGTATATTATACATGGGAATACAAATCCCAGTAATACATTGTACACTGTATGTATAATGTATTGCTGGGATTTGTTGTATTCCTGTATAGTTGGTGATATTCTGCACTGCGCTGTATAGAGGACTACAAATCCCAGCAATAATACATTATACAGCGCAATGCGGAATTCCACCAGCTATAGAGGACTACAAAACCCAGCAACAGTACATTATACAGCGCAATGCAGAATACCGCCAGCTATAATGTACTATTGCTGTGATTTGTTGTGCTCCTCTATAGCCGGTGCCATTCTGCATTGATTGCTGTATAATTATAAACTTTCCATTTCACTATATTGCACACCACACTTTTTTTTTTTTACTTCCACCGCTCCAAGCTTGCTCCTGTGATGGACTACAATCTCAATACAAACTAGTAGTCCATCACTGGAGCCATTTTTAAAAATGTATTTTATTGTTTATCCGATTAACCGATTAATCGAACTTAATAATCGGCTAACTAATCGATTTTGAAAATAATCGTTAGCTGCAGCTCTAATACAGACGCTCACCTGTGTTGAGTTTTCAGGTGTCTCAGAAGGTTTCCTCTGCCAGCATAACATTTCCCACACTCTGAACAAAAAAAAGGACGCTGACCCGTGTGAACTCTCTGGTGCGAAAGAAGGTTTCTTTTCTCAAAAAAACCCTTCCCACACTCTGAGCATGAATAACGTTGTTCACCCGTGTGAATTCTCTGGTGTCTAAAAAAGTGTCCTTTCTGAGCGAAACTTTTCCCGCATTCTAAACATGAATATGGACGCTCACCTGTGTGAATTCTCTGGTGTTTCAGCATGTGTCCTTTCAAAGTGAAACGTTTCCCACACTCTGAACACGAATATGGACGCTCACCCATGTGGGTTCTCTCGTGTCTATGTAATTGTTCTTTTTTAGTGAAATTTTTCCCGCACTCTGAACATGAATACAGATGCTCACCTGTGTGAGTTTTCTGGTGTCTAAGAAGATTTCCTTTGTCAGCATAGCTTTTGTCACACTCTGAACATGAAAATGGACGCTCACCAGTGTGAATTCTCTGGTGTGAAAGAAGTTTTCTTTTCTCGAGGAAACCTTTCCCACACTCTGAACACATAAAAGGACGCTCACCCGTGTGAATTCTCTTGTGTGTAAACAAGTGTCCTTTTTGAACAAAACTTTTCCCGCACACTAAACATGAATACGGACGTTCACCCGTGTGAATCTTCTGGTGTCTACGAAGTTTTCTTTTGTCAAGGAAACTTTTCCCACATTCTGAACATGAAAAAGGACGCTCCCCAGTGTGAATTCTCCGGTGTGAAAGAAGGCTTACTTTCTTAGTAAAACTTTTCCCACACTCTGGACATGAATACGGATGCTCACTTGTGTGAATATTCTGGTGCTTAAGAAGGTTTGTTTTGTCAGAAAAATTTTTTTCGCACTGTAGACATGAAAAGGTCACATGGTTGTGGGTTTTTACATGTAGAAGAAGTTCAGATTTCATCTTAAAGTCTTTCCCGCACTCCAAACATGACAATGACCTCTCTCCTGTGTGATCTCCTTCATGACTGAGAGAAGATCCCTCGGGGATAGTTGGATCTGTAGACGGATCTTCACTGTGGGAGCCGAGATGGATATCTGAAGTCATGTAATGTGATTGGTCAGAAGATTCCTCAGGATTAGAGGGATCCATTGATGTCTCCAGACAATGTGTTCTGTGGTGTATCATTGGACGTATGTGATTCACTTCAGAGTGAAGATCTCCCTCCGAGGTATTCCGGACATGGCGGCCGTCTGATAGAAAGCAAAATGACATGAGAAACACATTCTACAATACACCAAAACCAACACTGAGTGACGGGGGATGGGCACTGATGTCATCGTTATATTGAGGAATGGAGATGGACCTTCATATGGTGTACAGTATCTCCTCCTCATTTGTTGGGGACATGACGTTATATTGAGGAATGGAGATGGACCTTCATATAGTGTACAGTATCTCCTCCTCATTTGTTGGTCACATGACGTTATATTGGGGAATGGAGATGGACCTTCATATGGTGTACAGTATCCCCTCCTCCTTTGTTGGTCACATGACGTTATATTGAAGAATGCAGATGGACCTTCATATGGTGTACAGGCTGGCTGTTCCGTTCCACATCCTAAATTATATTTCTTGGCTTCTCAGATGCTGGGGGGGGGGGGGGTGTTGAGTTACTGGAATGACGAGGAAGTTCGGTCAATTATTTCGGAAGAACACTTTTGAATCTTTTTATGCGTTCCAAGATGGAATGACATCTTTGTAATTTATAAATACTTGCAGTAGAAAGGCATCTTTTATGTTTGGCTTCTTTAACCCCTTCACGACCAACGACGTACAGAATGGGTTTCCATGGCTGAGCAGCTGCATCCAAGCCGCACATCACCAAGTGCAATGCAAAGCGTGGGATGCCGTGGTGTAAAGCGCGCCGCCACTGGACTCTAGAGAAGTGGAGACGTGTTCTCTGGAGTGACCAATCACGCTTCTCTGTCTGGCAATCCGATGGACGTGTCTGGGTTTGGCGGTTGCCAGGAGAACGGTACTTGCCTGACTGCATTGTGCCAAGTGTAAAGTTTGGGGGAGGGGGGATTATGGTGTGGGGTTGTTTTTCAGGGGTTGGGCTTGGCCCCTTAGTTCCAGTGAAGGGAACTCTTAAGGCATCAGCATACCAAGACATTTTGGACAATTTCATGCTCCCAACTTTGTGGGAACAGTTTGGGGATGGCCCCTTCCTGTTCCAACATGACTGCGCACCAGTGCACAAAGCAAGGTCCATAAAGACATGGATGAGCGAGTTTGGGGTGGAGGAACTTGACTGGCCTGCACAGAGTCCTGACCTCAACCCGATAGAACACCTTTGGGATGAATTAGAGTGGAGACTGCGAGCCCGGCCTTCTCGTCCAACATCAGTACCTGACCTCACAAATGCTCCAACATTCCCATAGACACACTCCTAAACCTTGTGGACGCCTTCCCAGAAGAGTTGAAGCTGTTATAGCGGCAAAGGGCGGAGCCAACCGAATACTGAACCCTACGGACTAAGACTGGGATGCCATTAAAGTTCATGTGCGTGTAAAGGCGTCCCAATACTTCTGGCAATAGAGTGTGTGTAGAAGTTCAGGTTGATATGGGGGTAATTGGAGGGGGTAGAGTGGGTAAGGTCAGGTCTACTAGATTGGATATATGACAATATTTTAGCATGTAGAAACAAATAAAGTACTAAGTATATATTATGTATATATGTCATGTATGTGTCTCGGTGTGCCTTGCTTTAGGACAGTGGTTCTTAACCTGCGGGTCGCGACCCACAGTTGAGGGGGTCCCCACGTGCCTTGTGCTGCTCTAGGTAAGAGGCTCCTCAGCCTCCTCCTAGTGCAGCAGTGTCAGTTCTCCTACATGGAGCTGCATCAGCAGCCGCTGGAGAGGGTCAAAGAGAGGGGAGCGGGCAAGAGGGGAGGTGAGTGCTTGATCACCACAGATCCCGCAACTGGGCACTACAGAGCCCGCAACTGGGCACCCCCAGAGTGTCCCACTAGCCACCCGAGAGCCCGCACAGCCTCCAGAGAGCCCACACAGATACTAGTATCGGTGCATCCCTACATTTTACAGTTGGGGGTCACCACAACCTGGCAAATGTTACCAAGGGGTCCCGGCCCTAGAAAGGTTGAGAACCACTTTAGGAGATGGTCGGAGACTATAAGCACGATAGGAAGGAGCTTGGAGACAGAGGACATGTTTGAGGGAGAAGAGTTTAAGAACTTCTTACGAGACCTTTATCATTACCATTACCGCTTTCAGTCTTAGGTAAACTTCAAACCTGCAATCTCAATTCCACCATCGCTTCACATCTGGACTTAGCCAAGGAATTAGAACGGATGGTCCAAAAAACTAACAAAGTGTTTATGACTTACTTGTGTCCATATGTAGAGAAGATTCCTCCTGTTCACTCTTCACCATCATCTCACCCTCCTCCATAGACTGTTGAGCTCCACTCACCAACGTCTCTTCTTCTTCTATAACCTCAACTTTGATGTCCTTCAGTTCTTCACCCTAAAAAACCCGAAGATGATAGAACAGATTTATGAGAAGGAAGATGAGATCAGACGGAAGAGTGTTTTCTGAGTTCTATGGTTCAGTCCCATCTACCTGATCATGGCGTGTACAGCTGTGATCTTTCTTGAAGACATCCCGAGAATACAGAGGACCGTCATTCTGTATGGACTGCTGATCTCTGCTCCCCCATGAGTCTTTTTCCACTTTAACCTCAACTTTAATGTGTTTCAGTTCTTCGCCCTAAAACCCCAAAGATGATGGAACACATTTTAAAAGCAGAACAGAAAAAGAAAACATACAAAAGGAACAAGATGTGACGGAGAAAACTGTTATCTGGCAGCTTAGAATACATTTTCTTAAATCTACATCCTCTGGTAGTCCTCTACAGTCACACCTACCTGATCCTGGTGGGGGACGGTGAGATCTTCCTGTGTGGAATCCCGGGAATACAGAGGACGGGTCTGAGGGCTCTCATGATGTTCCTGTGTGGAATCCCGGGAATACAGAGAATGGGGACATCTCTCTGGTGGGTCCCTCTTCCTGGATCCATCTGTAGGAAACACACACACTGACTGAATACATTGTTTCTATGTGTGTATCAGATGATGGGGGATCTAGGTGGACCCTCTGTACTGCTCTCTCCTCTTACCCGGTGATGTGAGGGGCGGCCGGTTCTCCATCATAACGTCCTTGTAGAGATTCTTGTGTCCTTCTACACACTCACGCTCCTCCCTCGCACTATACTCTTCCTCTTCTTCTCTTATCTCTTCTTTGATACGAACATCAAAATTGCTCCAATTTCCACTCTGAATAAAAATATAGAACAATGTAGTTAAAATGTCTTTGTTCTTCCATGGAGACATCCTGACACCTTATAGGAACCTGACACACACAATGATACAGTCACCACCCAGACACATCCCTCGTCTGTTCCTGCATCATGTCCCAGAATTCCCGGCACCGCTCACCTCTCCCGACAGCAGATCAATGATCTTCTTGGTGACTTCTAGGATCTTCTTTTTGTCACATAGAGGAGACAGGGACACCAATGAAGGGACAGTGATCTGGTCCTGGATCTCCCTCCGTCCTTCTGACACATGGTGATGTCTGCTGGAGGTCACACTCTCACCAGATGTCTTCTTCACCACTGTGTAACCCTACGGAGAGACGTCATGAGAAATGTGAATGGTTAATAAGTTTAGGCTGCGACATTCCCAGAATCTCCCCCATATCATCATCTTCACCTGATACACCCTCCCAGAATCCTCCTCACCTCTCCGGTCAGCAGGTAGATGATCTCCAGGGTGAGCTGTAATATCTTCTCAGTCATGTGACTTTGGTCTTTGCCTGTGGTCATCATTGATGTGGTCATGTGATCCATGCAGGACTCTCCTCTCTGTAGATGGATAATAAAGTGAGAATGATCTGCACTGTACCGGGATGAATAATGTCTACACAGAGTTCCTCCTGCTTGTTATATATCAGAGGTCTTATCAGTGTCACTAAAGGAAACCAGAGAGTCCATTTTAAGGCCAAACTCCAACCAGAAGATAAAATAATATCTTATTACCTCCTCTGCTGCCAGTTCCAGCAATGTCTCCCCTTTACCTCCTCCCAGAGCAATTCTCGCCTGGAACTTTCTGGTCTGGAAATGGTATCACATCCTGACTGTACCTGACATCACTTCCTGGATCTACCTGACATCACTTCCTGGATCTACCTGACATCACTTCCTGGCTGTACGTTTTACTCATTACATGTAGGATCTCCCCCTTGTGGCGAATAAAAAAAACTGCAGCAGATGTTTTACAACATTGGCCTCTGAGATGTGTCACATTCCCTCGTTATGTTGTATATACATCATTATTAGCCATTTTGGGACATTAATCGTGTCTTTGTTATATGGGAAATCAATCTATGTAATAATCTAATAAAGAGGAAGATGGAACTCAGCTGCGGAGACACGTTAACAGTCACGTGCTCTAGCTAGGGTTGCCACCTTTTCTTGTAACGAAACCCGAACACTCTAGCAACGGACTGAATTTTTTTTTTGGGAGAATGAGTTGCGGCTTATTCATATAGAAATAGCGCCGTCCATTCATATGTAAATATCACAGTTTAGACTATTTTCAGTGGAGGGCGAGTAGCCCCTATCTTAATTTTGGTTGCCCCTGTCTGCATGACATCTTGTGTCCGGGTTTCAGCTGCCATGAAACCCGGACACAGCATTCAAAACCCGGACTGTCCGGGTGAATCCTGGACAGGTGGCAACTCTAGCTCTAGCCCAGGAGTAGGTGATGGCAAGGGTTAATATTGCCAAGCAAGCTCAGTGCATCATCGGTCTATCTTCCAACCTAACTAAGCTTGCTACACCTGTAGTGAGTATTGATAGGGGAAGTGGTTGCAAGGCGCTATACTCGGGATTCGCACTGGTAGGGACACATCAATGTTATATTTACTTAGCAATGCTTAATTCACTGGTAATTATGTTCACTCCACATACCCAGTACTTCAGTATCACAGTCACTCATATATAGTATTGACCCAGTTGCTATCAAGATATATGTTCACTTCACATATACTCAGTGGCGTCACAAGGGGAGTGCGGGGGGTGCGGCCCGCACCCGCGTGCCACCATTGGAAGGGTAATAGTCAGTGTACCCATTGCACTCCTTACCGCTAAATCCTTGATGAATGGGTTGGGTGCATCAGTAGTCGACGGATGGCCACCGTCCAGGCAAAGTATAAAGAGTTATGGACACCGGCACTCCAAAGTAGAAAAACGTCTTTTATTGACGCATCATGCAACAATACACTTATTGCAACGTTTCGGGGTCACACAGGATCATGTTCTGGGGTCATGTTCTACCTGATGAAGGGGATCCTGTGTGACCCCGAAACGTTGCAATAAGTGTATTGTTGCATGATGCGTCAATAAAGGACGTTTTTCTACTTTGGAGTGCCGGTGTCCATAACTCTTTATACCATTGGAAGGGGGACACCAAAATGACTCTCAGTCATTTTGGTGTCACCCCCCTCTGAAAAGTGGGGCGCTCGGTCATGGACCGAACGCCCGACAGTATCAGGAGAGAGGAGGGGACCCGGCGGCATACCTTATCCCGCCGGGTGACTGTCCCCTCCTCTCTCTGTCGGCGTCCATCACCAAGATGGCCGCCGGCAGGTATCAGCATACTGACGCGCGTGCGCGATGACGTCACACGCATGCACAGTGACGTCTCGGCGGGGTGACACTCGGTTCCCGCTCCGGGTGTCACCCAGCCTGGGGACGCCCGTGCATATACTTAGTAATGGGAATCACAGTCCAACAGCTCAGATGTAAGAATCGTTTCACAGTGTCAGTATAGACCCAACCATATGTGCAATATCGTTAGGTGCCAGCAGGGGGCTCACATCTCATAAATCTTATGCTGAAGTATGGTTAATCCAGATAGTTTATAGCAGTGAGCTAAAACCCCTGTGGGTAGCAACCCAGAGGGGAATACTTGCGCTTAGGTTTCCTGGTGCAGGGGGTAAGAGTGGTCCTCGGCACGCTAGCGCAGAACCCCATGGGGGTTGTCAGCTGGTCTGCAGGTATCAGGTGGGTGATGTGGAGTCCTCCTGTCAGAGGCTGTAGCTGGTGGTGCTGAAGGCAGGGAGACCGGCACTCGTCTGGCGTCCGCATGGGGTTGTTGGAATGCCAGACAGTTGCACAGTCGCGGCTTATGATGGGGCGGGTCCCGTCTGACATCATCGGCCCAGGGGCGGAGCTACCGCTAGACTCCGTGACTCGGAACGGCAACGTCCCCGGGAACCGTAAAAAAAAATATCCGTGCTTGGTATAGTGTTGTGTAACCGTGTATATAATGTATATTTTGTAGGGCTGTGGAAATCAAAGATTAATTTCTCGATTAATCGTTAAACTTTTTGATCGATTAAAATAATTTTGATCGCTAATGAAAACACTGACCTCTCCGCCGGCTTCCGGGAGTTCCATCAATGTAGTTGGATCTCTATGTGCGTTATAATTCATCGAAATTAATCGATTAAAAAAAAGTTAGATCAATCGAACACAAAAATGTTAATCATTACCAGCCGTAATATTTTGTGATATTTGTGTTACTAATATTGTTCTTTGGGGACCAAAGACTTTTGGTGGGGGGAGGGAGTGTAGCACTTGTCAGATTGTGTTTCCTGTCAAATCCGTTGCAGATCATTGCACTCTAAGCCTGCACTAGCTTTATCCTGGTTGATGGACAGCTACAGTGAGAGGAGAGCCAGAGAGGACCTTCATTGGCTGTTTATGTCTGGACAAGCCCTCCCCAGGCAACCAGTGTAAAAAGGAACTGGGAATGCCTATAGAGCAGCCTCAGCACAACTACTCATGGGACGGTAGAGACTTGAGGGGCATGTAGTCCAGGCATGGGGAAAGTGCTAGCAAGCATTTGGGGAGAAAACATTCGGCATCAGAGCCTGCTGAATACAGTCACAGATCACAGCTGCTGCTTCTGGAGGGGCCACTCACTGTGGTTTGCTTCTGAGGAGATCCAGGACTGTTACCTGACATCCAGGGACTGCTGCTTGTGCCAAAAGTCACCTGAGAGGTTTCTGAATGCTGGCTAGAAAGAGGGAGAACCCTTTCGCCAGCCAACGTGGGATCACCTGATGTGGTGAGAGGATTTCAAGCCATTAACTCTTTGCAGCACATACCTTGGGAAATCCTTGGCTGTTGAGGGATCACCAGGAATCTAATTTCTTTTTGGGGCCCTGTACTGTTCTCCTATATCACTTAATTTGTGTAAGAGCGCTCCAACTAAGGGTTCCAACACCGGAAGAGCTTTAGTTAGCTCTAGTGGCCAGTAGTATAGCAAGGAGGGATTGATTGCTGTTGGTGGAGTGATTCACATCATTGCTTCATGGATGCCTTATATATTAAAACCCATTACCTTCGCCATGGTGTGTTCCGGGTCCATGTCAGGCCTGGCCCTTACGCTCGGAATTCTGAACGGGCACCTGCGCATAGTTTTGCTCACAAAATTGTGCACCGCCAAGCGCCCCTGCACACGTTGGCGTGCGCATGTTGCGGATTGTCACGCTAAACGGGCTATTTAAGGCTGTGACATTCCAACCTCCAGTGCTGACTGGTCTTCAGACTTGTTTTCTGACTACGCTCCTGTCTGCTGCTCTGTACCTCGCTGCCCGCAAGTTGCTGATCCCTGCCTGTCCCTCATTACGCCTTGTCTACTGTCCTGGTACCTCGCTGCTCGACTGTTACAGATCCAGCTTGTCCTGGACTTCGCTGCTACCGGCTCTCGTGGCTCTCCTGTCCTAGTGCACCTGTTCCACCTCCAGGGGTTCTTGGACTTGAGCTGCAAGAGAGGCCTTCCTCGTCAACTCAGACTCCTCTAAGGTACGTGGTTTCCGACAGTCCAGTCTGGGCGGTTCATCAGTGGTGTGGGACAGAAGAACCTCAATGCTACAGCAGCTGCTTCGGGGGTGAACACTACATGTGGGGGCTCGTCCGGGATGCCCTCTAGTCCATTCTGCCAAGTGAGTCCAGTTTAATTACACGCCTGGACAAGATCTATCAACAGGTCATACTGATAGGAGGAATGAAGCCAGATGCCGCAAGAAAAACGTTGCTGACTCAAGTTCTTAAAAGGGCATAACCACTAGACCCCATAATACTGAAACTTTAGACCAGAGACCCGAGTGGTCCCATAGCTCACTCCAAAATGATCAAGACAATTCAAGAAGAAGAGGCTTTGATGGCAGCTAAGACCCAAAAAAGATGAATGCTCATACAGATCCTGGACAGTACCGCAATGGTGCCTCCCTATACTCAGTACAGGATGTATTGGGTGCGCCAGAAGGAATAGAAAAATGATGTTTGGAACCTAATAAACTTCCATGGTTTATAAATAAGTATACATTTTATTCTACAATTTGTATTTTTTTTGCAAGATCAATAGAAATAAACAAATAAAAATCAGCAGGAAAATATCAGATAAGAGGAGAAGGAGGAGTTAACCAGGGCTGATTAGGACAACTAGGGGGGATAATTTGAGGTTAAATGGCAACAAATTTAATTTAAAAAACAAACTGACATTGTAACAGATGGAAGCTCACCCCTTTGATCTCAATGAAATTCGAGAAATTGCAAAAATACATTAATCAGCTTTTTCAGCCAGTATGAGTTCTCTGATGTCTCCTTAGATGTCCCTTTGTAATGAAACTTTTCCCGCACTCTAAGCATGGATAAGGACGCTCACCTGTGTGAGTTCTCTGGTGTGCAATAAGGTCTCCTTTCTGAATGAAGCCTTTCCCACACTCTGAGCATGAATAAGGACGTTCTGCCGTGTGGCTTCTCTGGTGCATTAGGAAGTGTCCTTTGTCAAGGAAAAATTTCCCGCACTTTAAACATAAATGTGGATGCTCGCCCGTGTGGGTTTTCTGGTGTCTAAGGAGGTTTCCTTTGCTTGCATAACTTTTGTCACACTCTGAACATAAATAAGGAGGTTCACCCATATGATTTCTCTGGTGTCTAAGAAAGTTTTCTTTCTGAGTGAAATGTTTCCCACACTCTGAACATGAATATGGACGCTCACCTGTGTGAATTTTCTGGTGTTTAACAAGGTGTCCTTTGTCTGCATAACTTTTGTCACACTCTGAACATTCAAAAGGACGCTCACCAGTGTGAATTCTCTGATGTGAAAGAAGGTTTTTTTTCTCCGAAAAACCTTTCCCACACTCTGAACATGAAAACGGTTGTTCACCCGTATGAATTCTCTGGTGTCTGAGAAGGGCCCCTTTGATAGGAAAACTTTTCCCGCACTCTGAACATGAATATGGCCGCTCACCTGTGTGAATTTTCTGGTGGTTAAAAAGGTTTATTTTCTCAGTAAAACGTCTCCCGCACTCTGAACATGAATACGGACGCTCACCTGTGTGAGTTTTCTGGTGGCTAAGAAGGGTTCTTTTCGCTATAAAACTTTTCCCGCACTCTGAACATGAATAAGGGCGCTCACCCGTGTGAATTCGTTGGTGTATGATGATGTATGCTTTTGTACTGAAGTGTTTCCCGCACTCTGAACAGGAATAAGGATTATCGTCCTCATGACTTTTCTGGTGTTTAAGAAGCTTGCTTTCTTTACTGAAAGCTTTCCCGCACTCTGGGCATGAAAAGGTCACATGGTTCTGGGTTTTGAGATGCAGAAGAAGTTCAGATTTCATCTTAAAGTCTTTCCTGCACTCCAAACATGACAATGACCTCTCTCCTGTGTGATCTCCTTCCTGGCTGAGAGAAGATTCCTCGGGGATAGTTGGATCTGTAGACAGATCATCACTGTGGGAGCCGAGACCGATATCTAAAGTCATGTGATGTGATTGGTCAGAAGATTCCTCAGGATTAGAGGGATCCATTGATGTCTCCAGACAATATGTTCGGTGGTGTATCATTGGACGTATGTGATTCACTTCAGAGTGAAGATCTCCCTCCGAGGTATTCCGGACATGGCGGCCGTCTGATAGAAAGCAAAATGACATGAAAAACACATTCTACAATACACCAAACCCAACACTGAGTGACGGGGGATGGGCACTGATGTCATTGTTATACCGAGGAATGGAGATGGACCTTCATATGGTGTACAGTATCTCCTCCTCATTTGTTGGTCACATGACGTTATATTGAGGAATGGAGATGGACCTTCATATGGTGTACAGTATCTCCTCCTCATTTGTTGGAGACATGACGTTATATTGAGGAATGGAGATGGACCTTCATATGGTGTACAGTATCTCCACCTCATTGGTTGGTCACATGATGTTATATTGGGGAATGGAGATGGACCTTCATATGGTGTACAGTATCTCCTCCTCATTGGTTGGGAACATGACATTATATTGAAAGGTCCGTCTCCATTCCTCAATATAAGTTCATCTTCCCCACAAAATGGTGTACAGTAATTGTACCCCATTTGTTGGGTAGTGTGGTGAATACAAACTGGTTGACCTTCATAGATGTGTCCCCCTTTTTCAAAGTATGTAAGAAAGATTTTATTCCTCTGGTTAGGGCTGGAGATGGATCCATAACATGGTGTACAATACCTCCTCCTCTTTGTCAGGGTCATTAGGTGGTGAGGAAGATACGTTGATGATATTTTTCTTATGTCAGCACTTCTCATTCATTTATTATAAAGGATGTGGATGTTTCTATGTTGGACATGGTCAGCATAGACAATGTAGAGTTATGTCATGGATAAGGATTCATAAACTATCATTTCTCGATGGCAAGGAACCATCATTTACAGACCATATCACAGTATGTAGATTGTGTTACTGGATTCTATATACTGCAAACCACCCAAAGTGACTGAAAACAAAGAAAAGACGACATCTTCAGCTTCCAATAGGTAAAATGACTCTTTTTCATATCAAACTGGCATCATGGATCTCCGGGTCTTCCAGGTATCATTTAGTCTCATCGTACCAGAAGATGTGACGTTCTGATAATTATCTAACATTTCTCCTCAAACTGCTCGCCGCATCCTCGTAGAAGCAAACTGACAAATCGGAACACTTCAGGCATTTAAAGCTCATATAGAGGACTTGGCTTCTCAACTTTGCTGGTCTACCGTTAATCATTTAGCTTCATCTTACCTCATGTTTTCCTGAATGTCTGCTAAATTTCCACAACTTTTGGTCACACCCCATACTTTGTATGAACTGAAGACGTAAATCAGTACACTTCGTGTTTATTACTTACCTGTGCCGATGTCTAGAGTGGAATCCTCTTTACTTTTCTGAATCATCCCAACTTCCTCCATAGACTGCTGAGCTCCGCTCACAAACTTCTCTTCTTCTTCCTCTTTAACCTCAACTTTCATATCCATCAGGTCCTTACCCTAAACCCCAAAATGATAGAACACATGGAGAAGTAAGCTCTACGGGAACAGGAACGTCATCTTATTGAGTTTAAACTTACTTCTAGGTGTTGAGTTCCTCCTACCTGATCATGGAGGGGGAGGGTGAGATCTTCCTGTGTGGAATCCCGGGAATACAGAGGACGGGCCTGAGGGATCTCATGATGTTCCTGTGTGGAATCCCGGGAATACAGAGGACGGGGACATCTCTCTGGCGGGTTCCTCTTACTGGATCTATCTGTAGGAAACACACACACTGACTGAATACATTGTTTCTATGTGTGTATCAGATGATGGGGGATCTAGGTGGACCCTCTGTACTGCTCTCTCCTCTTACCCGGTGATGTGAGGGGCGGCTCATTCTCCATCACGACGTCCTTGTAGAGATCCCGGTGTCCTTCTAGATACTCCCACTCCTCCATGGAGAGATAGACAGAGACATCCTGACACCTTATAGGAACCTGACACACACACAATGATACAGTCACCACCCAGACACATCCCTTGTCTGTTCCTGGATCATGTCCCAGAATTCCCGGCACCGCTCACCTCTCCTGTCAGCAGATCAATCACCTTCTGGGTGACCTCTAGAATCTTCTTCTTCTTTTGATCACATAATGGAGACAGGGACACCAATGATGGGTCACTGATATGGTCCCGGGTTCCTCTCCGACCTGAGACATGGTGATGTCTGCTGGAGGTCACACTCTCACCGGATGTCTTCGTCACCACTGTGTAACCCTATGGAGAGACGTCATGAGAAATGTGAATAGTTACTAAGTTTAGGCTGCGACATTCCCAGAATCTCCCCCATATCATCATCTTCACCCGATACACCCTCCCAGAATCCTCCTCACCTCTCCGGTCAGCAGGTAGATGATCTCCAGGGTGAGGTTTAATATCTTCTCAGTCATGTGTCTTTGATCTTTGTCTGTGGTCACCATTGATGTGGTCATGTGATCCATACCAGACGCTCTTCTCTCTAGACGGATAATAAAGTGAGAATGATCTGCACTGTACCGGGATGAATAATGTCTACACAGAGTTCCTCCTGCTTGTTATATATCAGAGGTCTTATCAGTGTCACTAAAGGAAAACCAGAGAGTCCATTTAGAGCACCAACTACAACCGGAAGATATTATTTCAGGTTTGTATAGAGGAGGAAGGGATCGGAATCTTTGTTAAGGTCACAGGTCAGGCGGAACAGGAAATGAAGGGAAATCGTTCAAAGAGCCGAGTTCAACAAAATATATTTGGAGATATCTGTGGAATGATTGGTGGTCAGGATCACACAAGACCAGACGGTGGTGTTGGCCAACAACTCAAAAATAACGTAATCCAAGCCAGGGAAAGCAGCCTCTTGTTTAGACCATGTGATGTAAACCGTAGGCTCTGGATGGACAGTTGGATAAATGGCTCTATATTTAGGATGTATCTGGTCTATAAATGGCGGCTCTGGATGGACAGTTGGATAAATGGCTCTATATTTAGGATGTATCTGGTTTATAAATGGCGGCTCTGGATGGACAGTTGGATAAATGGCTCTATATTTAGGATGTATCTGGTCTATAAATGGCGGCTCTGGATGGACGGTTGGATAAATAGCTCTATATTTAGGATGTATCTGGTCTATAAATGGTGGCTCTGGATGGACAGTTGGATAAATGGCTCTATATTTAGGATGTATCTTCTTACCTCCTCTGCTGCCAGTTCCAACAATGTCTACTCTCTACTTCCTCCTAGCTCACACCTGACCCAGATCCTTCTCTTTGTATCTGACATCACTTCCTGTCTGTACCTGACCACTTCCTGTCTGTACCTGATACCACTTCCTGTCTGTACCTGACATCATTTCCTGTCTGTACTTTCCGCTCACAATAAATAAGATCACCCCCTTGCGGAGTATATGAAAACTGTTGCTGTGTTTTGCTGTCTTTGTTGCTGAGACCAGGGCAACAAGAACAAAGACAACCAATGGAAACCTGATCGTGCGTAAAAACAAATAAATGTATTTACAAAAGTGAAAAAGGTGTTCATTTTTTTATAAATAAAGATATGTGTTTCTACAATTGGTGGGGCATTCTCTTCTTTTGGTCCTCAGTGGTCATAGAGCTTCACTGAAGCTAACAATCTTTTCAGATTCTAATATCTACCAACAGGCAACAAATCGATTGCTCGCTCTTCGGCAGTGAGCTCCAGAGGAAGAGGCGGTCGATGATGTTGTGTTAGATCAAACTTGGGTTCCGAGGAGAGCTCTGAGGGAAAGGTCAACATTGTATTCCTTTTCCTCCAATGCTTACATTACCCTTGTCGTCTGTTGTATCTGTGCGCATTGGAAAGTTTGGCGGAAAGAGCAGCAGCTACCCGGTGGCCTTCCAAACGTCCATTACAGCTCCGCCCAAATGTCCGTCCCTTTAATAATACAGATCAGGGTCGAAATTTGAGCTTGTTGATTTTTTTTTTTTTAAATTGGCCACAGATGAAACATGACCACAGATTTTGGTAATGATTACTGCGGGGGGGGGTGAAGGCCTGGAGGTAGGCTTTAATATGGCAAATCACAACAACTGCTTGACAGGACAGATTCATAATTAATGTTGTTCTCACAGTATACCATTGGGTGGAGGCCCATACACTAGAAGGTTGAACATTAAGGAGAAGGCTCAGCTCCTTCTACAAAGAAGTCCTCTATGCAGAAAGTCAGCACCAGTTTATCTTAGCCTTACAAGGATATAAGATGTCTTCTCCAGTTCTGTTGGTCCAAGATTGAAGATTCCTGATGCTGGCAGTGACACGATGGATTCTCAGGTCTTGAAGAGTCACTGTCATAGACAACTGCGCCGTCAGTGCCTACGTTGGCCATCGAGACTCAGGAAGTATAAACAACTGCATGCTCGCACAGAGCATGCTGTTGTTTATACCTCCTGAATTTTCTAAGGCTTGGGGCTCAAGGTGTGACCCTGAGCATGGAGTTGTTTCTACCTCTGAAGCTTGA